TCACTCAACCCTGTGGTTATGATCAGTCTCAGTAAAGTGGAGGTGATATGCTGGAGTGTAGGTTTCAACTAGCAGAATGCCATTTTAGCCTATTAAGCATGTTTTCTTTTACTTTCAGCAAAGATCAACGATCTGGTCTCTTCCACTTACAAGACAATAAAAACAAAGCTGCCATCAACGTTACGAAGCATGTCGTTATACTTGTCCAATAAAGATACAGAACTAATTTTGTTTAAGCCAGTTAGGGTGAGTATTGCTATATGTACTTCAGCATGTTTTTCCATAGGTATTGGGCCTTTATTTAGTTAAAGACTTCAAACATATTTTATGGGATCGTTCACCTTATATTTCTCTGTGTGTATGGTTATATGTATAATATATCTATATAAATGTATGCATACATATATTTATAAGTGTATACATACAGACACACATACATACACATATCTGTGTATCTGTAGAGTTATTCTAGGCTACCAGCCCAGCCAGTAAACGTGACAAATACCATGCGCATGTAATAGTGAACAGACTATTACAGTCAACGTGGTGTACCTGATCTGAGAAGCCTGTTGAAAAGACACATGAAATTAAAAAAAAAAAATTCTAGTAATATGTTTTATAATGATATATTTAAGCTTTAAAAAAAAAAAAAAGCTGTCCTGCTCTCAATTTTACTCAGCCTACATAACATACAGGGAAGTAACTGGTTCTGTTCATTCTGCACATCTTCCAGTCAGCACCATATGAGCTACTGTAAAGAAAACAAACTCTGTCACAGCCAAAACCAGTACAGCTTGATCAGTTATGCATGGGCAGAAGCACTGGAGGCAGAGAGGATGACACAGATTCAGTGGGAGACCCACTGTAAACCCACCAGGAAGAATGAAGCTTGAGTTTTAAGCTTCCAGGTTAAGTCTGTACGTCTCAGTGTTTCAGCTTAGCACATCTTAGCTGAAGTTTTTCTCTCAACAGCCAGCATGGGTTCCTTGTGGCTGTTGTGGGGCTTGTTTTAAAAGAAAAGCCCTTAAAGCTTGACTGCTTCTCCCTACATGGTCACTTCAGTAGCTATTCCATGTACATTGTGCTTACTCATGTTTGAGATGGGTGTTGTGTTTTTTAGTATTGAGTTTTTTTCTTCTTTCTTTTAAAAGAATAACATTCAGCAAATGTTCCAGAAACTCCATGCTTTGTTAAAGGAAGAATTTAGTGATGAAGATCTCCAGATCATAGCTTGTCCGTCAATGGAACAGGTATATATTGAGGCTCCTTGTTTTATCAGTTGCTCTTTCATGTGACTGGCTTTTTTTAAACATTAATTTTTCATTTTTAGTATTTTCAGTGTTCAGAATCCTTATTTAGTTATTATCGCTCTTAGTCCTGGATGGTTAAACTCAGGGCTTCATCTGAACTCTAGGCTCTCAGCTAAAAGGGGTTTTTGTCTGGTTTTTATGAATATCCAATAGAGTTGTTAAACTGAAGGTGGTGATTGATGTTGCTGGGGATTGAGTTGTCAACATCATGGCAGAGTCTTGCCATTTCTGGGCATTGTCTTTTTGGAGAGATACCAAAACTAGTGAATATGCTTTAAAAAAACCTCTGTGTGTGAAGGCAGTCTTGCTTTTGACAAATACAAGCAGCAGCCAAGTTTTACATTTACGAAGCATGAGAAAGAATTACAAGGGTTCATTTGAAGTAAATGGCATTGGGAAAATGTGCAGATGTTTATTGAAATGTAACCCCACATGATACGGTCTTTAGTCTCAGAGATGATTTGGGTTAAGAATCCTCTCTATTAGGATGCTCTGACAGAAACCAAGTAGGTTTTTAAAAGTCTCGCTCTGACCTTAGTGGTCCAGGGAATGTGGATAGAATCATGATTAGCCCAGGATGCCAGTGTTTAAACAGATAATATAGTTTACAGACTAGAGGACATTGCCTGCTGTGACTGTGACCACAGGGATGTGTGATAACTAATGTGGAGCACAGAGCGGGAGTGATGCACTGGAAGGAGGTGGGGTTATCCTAGAGGAGGTGGCAGGTGGCTTCCTCTAATTGCTTATCTCTTAATCCACTTCTACAACTGAAGTGTATGGGAAACCATATTGTAATCTGGGGGAAACAAGTATTGCGAAGGATCCCAAATGTGTTTCAGGTATCTAAGATGAATGTTTATTTTTTTTTGCTGGTGCGCATATTTTTTGGAATTCCTTGACAATGCATGAAGTCATCTTAGAAACTTTGACACAGTACCTTGTGACTGCTGAAAAGACTAGTCAACATGGTCAACAATTGCATTTTAAAAAGCCTACGAGTAGGTATTTGACTGGAAATTTTGGCCAGTTGTTTTGTGTCTCTCCTGATTCATTTAAGACTCGGTGTGCTTCCTAGGAATCCTGTTTAAAGGCTAAAATATAAGACATCAGTTCTGAAACTTAGCTGCTCTGTCTAATGTAGGCTTTCCTTTCATTTTTCAGGTGAACTTACTTTTATCGATGTCCAAGTAGCTTAGCAGTGAGGCTGCTTGAAATAAGCTTCAGCTGAATGCCAGGCAGTGAAGGGAATGCGAAGACATTTGCTTGAAGTAAACGAAGGATCGCACTGTGCAGTCCAGTCTGCATCAAAACTATCCAGGCTGCTTACCCCTGTTTAAGGAAAAAAAGAAAAAAACCAGTTTTATTGATTTGTTAAAGGTCTTCCTGTTCATTGGCTTGAGAAGTGGTGGGGGGGAGAAAACAAAACAAAAACCCCTTTGCTGATCACTCTTATGGAAGCTCAGTTACTGCCTTACCCAGGTGTTTTCAAAGTTGAAATTACGGGTTTTTTGTAATGTAAAAACCTTGCTTGCTTTACTTTAATAACCTGATGTATGCAGTGAAAAGCCACACTTTCAAAGACACATTGGAAATAAAGTGGAGGGAATCAAACAGGAGCAGTAATAGGTATTTGCAAGGCTTGGAGATAAGCACATTGGTATGACAATTTGACTTAAGTAGGCATGCTCTAATTTTTCTTTAACTCACCCAGAAATCCTGGTAATCCACCAAGTGCTTGAACATAATTCAGAGGTTCTTAGTTGGGGAAACTTCTTCCCACATGTGAGGCATTTCTTGAAACACTGGATGTGCTGTTTTTCTTATACTGTTGTGACTAGGAGCTGTGAGGTCTGACCTAAAGTTTCATGCTCTAACCTTCCTCCATGTAAAGAATCTCAGTTCCTTGGGATTTGCAATGGAAAGCTGTGCAATATAACTTCTCTTGTTTCTGAGGGAACTGCGTATTTTCAGATGCTTTACAGCAAAGCTTAGCATTGAGATTCTCAGGTACTTAGTTTTAGGTTAGAGTTGGTTTTTTTGCCTTACCCAAGATCAAATGGTGGTGTGGCACTGTTCAAAGTGGGGACTGGGACTTGTAACGCCCTTGTGCGCCGGAGTAAGTGCTAATAAGGGTGTGTGGGGATGCCAGAAATTGAATGTGCAAACCTGTCAAATCAGCGTGGTAAACAGGGGATAAGTACTCGTAACTGGTAAACAATGCATGGTGTTCGGTATGCATTAATTGGTCATTATTTTGGAAAGCTGAACGCTAAACACTCAGCCCTTACTTGAATGAAACGCTACAAGCAGCTTTAGGGTGTCTCGGTGCGTAAGTCTTTATTGTGCAGCACTGCAAAAGAAAAACGTGGTGACTTACATGGCAGATTTTTAACTTATTTATAAAACCTGTTCTGTAGTTTTAAATATTTAGAAATTTCCATGCACATTGGTGGTGTTTTGATTTAGTAATTTTCCTGTTACAAATCACGTGGCTGGAGACTAAGATGGTAGGATTTAAAGCTACCACGAGAAGTGTTGCAGCAGTGGTGCTGAGGCACATAAACGGTACTCATAGGACCTTACATGACTCCTTAAAAATTAACTGAAGGAACTAACAAGGAAAGTTGCCCTTTCTTTTTACTTATGTAGACATACAGGCTGTAAAATAATGTCCAGTGCATTGTAATATATGTATATTTGTTTTTTATAAAGTTTTACAGAAGGACTGCATGGTCGCTGTACAGAGTTATGACTGACTTAATACAGACATTGTACAGAAAAGACATGAAGGGTAATCCGTTGCAGTAGTCACTTGTGCTTGGGATCCTCTCTCTCTTAGAGTACCCAGACAGCTCTAGGACAGCTGGTTGAAAGATCAGAAGAGCAACCAGTTTATACAGCCTGTTTGCTAAACGAACATTTGTTTAAACATGTACAGTTTCAGATATTTACGTTTACAAATAGTGTAAATACTTTCAAAATATTAATTTAAGATGCTTTATATTATCTGACTAGAAACTTGCTGTTTTTAATTTTTTAAATAAAAATGTTGCCTCCTATTTTGGTCCAAGAGTAAAGCTTTATTCTGTAATCTGAGGCTTGTCTGTCACGATAACTGTAATACAGAGACAATAAACATCCTGTAAGCACAGGCAGTGCATCGCAGAGAAGAAGTGTTCTTTTTTAGCAGTAAGAGAATTGACCTTATTTAGCACAGATGTATACCTGAGTGCTGAATGTACAGCTAACTGTTAAAGTAATGCCTCTTTATGGTTGTAATAAAAGTAAATTTGTATTTTCTCTACTGACAAACAATCTTGTGTGACTAAATGGTCTCTTTGCTTGCAATTGTGTTAGGGGGAAGAAACCACAACTGTAATAACAAGAACATATTTTAACTAGTTGGCTTTTACTAACAGAAAACTTGGGAGCTGGCGGCAGAAATCGCAAGTAGTATTGTATTTGATAGCTGTTCTTGTTGGCCTGGTTACTCACAGACTCGTCTACCCATAGTTTCTCATGACCACATCGTGTTCTTCTGACCCTTGGTATTGTAGAAACAGATCATCCAGAGGCTTGTGGTTTGTCCCCTGTAATGTCAGCGTGAAGCTTCCCTTCACCCTCTGGCTTTGACGATGTCGTGTGAATAGACTAACCTAACGTATTCCCGCTTCTGTTTGCACAGCAGCGATGCCACAGCATAGCTTATGCTATGCCGGGTGTTTTCCAAGCAAAACCAATAGTCCCTTCCTCAAACTGTGCGTGGTTGGTGTTGCAAAAGTGATGTGGGTAGGAAAAGAGGAAAATGCCTGTGCTGCTGAAGCAACTCATGGGGACTCTAAAGGTCCCTTCCAACCCAAAGCATTCTATGATTCTATGACTGCAGGTAGATCCAGCCCTGTGTCCACAAACGCTGCATTCTCCTACCCTCATGCATTTTCATCCTCACTGAACCCTAAAACCAAGGCAACACTGATATAAAGACCTCTGAATAGAACAACAACAACAACAAAAGATTGAGTTGGCTCCTTTCAGTGGTGGCCAACCATGCCATTAAGTCATGGGACTTACCATCTACCACCAGCTGGAGCCCTGATACCCAAGAGGCCCCTCATCTTCCCTCTCCTGGATTACCTGTGGTCCCTGTACCCGAGCTGCCGTTCATCATCCCCTCTCCACCAGCACGTGTGTCTCGGATGGAGAGCCGAAGCGCGCTGGCCAGTCGCGCTTGGTAAAACAAGTTCCCAAAGGCCAGTTCATCAGCTGTACGAAGGAAGCCGTCTCCTTCAAAGCACTGCACATTCGGTGTATAACCCTGCTGATCGCATGACAATCCATCAAGTGCTTTCGAATGAGACAAGCTTGGTGTTGCAAGGACTTGATGTACGGGAAGATAGGTGTTGCGAGCTTGAAAAAAGGAGCTTTGTTTTCATTGCAAAGTGACTGTTACCACCTTGATGAACAAAAAGTTGATCTGAAATGCTGATGTAACTGCTTGCTGCAAGTCATAATGTCTTCAGTATGTCATGCAGATAGAAGATGATGAAACGCGAGGAGTGATATCATTGAGAGAGGGGTTGCCAAAAGCATTGCAACATTGTATTTTGGATAGCAGGCTCCTGAGCTGAATCTTTTTACACTGAAGGAAGAGCTCCTCTTTGTATTCTGGCCACTGAAGTAGGTGACTTGTCTCTGGGTCTTTCAGCTGCAAAGAGAGCCCATGCAAAGTGAAGAGCGTTCATGCTGAACTGCATGCAGGGAGGCTGAGTGGGAGAGCATCCCTTGTAACCCAGCCTTTCACGCTTACCCCTGTAGTGTGTCCAGGGTGCCCTTTCCCTCCAAGCCCATGGAGCACACTAGCCTTATGGCTCGCCTTTGGAGGTGACCCTCTTCCAGCGCACGTACAAGGGGAATGAGGAGCTAAACTCACGGCTCTAGCCTCCTTTGGTGGGAGTGGGCTGCCCAGAAGTAGTGGGGCAAGGAAGATGACTTCCTTACCTAATGCAGCAATGGGTCCTGAGAAGAAGTCTGAATTTTGGGGATGGAAGAGCAGGTGCCAGTGCTTTATGACCTTGGGTTGTTACCACCTTTCTGAGTAGCTACCCCAGATGACTGTTACCATTAGCAATACACCTGTGGCCATGTATAGACTATTGCTATGAGGGCTGTCAACATTTGGTTTTTGTCTGCACCAGGGAAGACAACTTGAATCCTTCACCCTGAGGATACAGCCCCCAGCCAAGCATGAGCTCCCGGTGACGTGTGACCTGCGTTTCAGAGCTGAGCAGTTGTGTTTGCATCCAGCGGAGGACAAGGATGCGCACCAGTAGGCTGGGACAGTCACACTGGTACTGAGCAGGGCTCAGCCCTGGCCAAAACAGCATTCCCACCTCTAGGGAAGGGTCAGAGGTGGGAAACCTGAGTGACAACAAATACCAAAAGATTTTGACGCTCCTCTCCCCAGATGCTTGTTTCATGTTAAGTGAAATGCTGTTTAGATAAAATCAGGAGCTTTGTGTTTGTATTGACATTTAATATAAATCTTTTGAAAAGAAATAGCATTTCAGAATGAATTTGTGAGTAGCGCTGTTCTTGCCCTTTAGCAACAGCATTTCATTCTTATCTAAGTGCTTTCCTGAAAGGGAATTTCATTAAGATTTCACACAGGCAGGAAATTTGCTTTTGAATGCAACGGTGATTTTTCCACCTGAAAATTTGCGACCAGTCCCATGCAGCAGCCCCAAGCTTATCTCCACCGCATGGTTTCCCTGCTCCTGCTGCTGTTCTCCAAGCAGCTGGTAGGCAGGAGCCGGCCGGGCAGGGCTACCACAGCAAGCGCTCACCTTGAGCCGGGACCCCACGTTGAAACGGATGCGATCGCTGCGGCTGGTGAATGATAAGTCAGTTTGATCCTGAGCCAGAATTTTAATGGTGAGGTGGCCGTTCAGTTGCATGGTGACGGACTGGAAGGGAGGGCTGTGAGCGTGGTGGCTGAAGTCATGCCACTTCCAGCGCTTCTGGCTGACGTATGCCCAGCCCAAGCAGATCCCAGTGCAGGTGTCCAGGGCAGCCCTGAGGAAAAACACAAAGCTGGATGAATCCAGAGCAAACAACTCCCTGGTCCCAAATGCCATCTTTTGTCTGCAGTTTGATCCAACTTATTATTATTGTGGTCCAAGAGTCACTGCTGG